TGATTATCGATATTAATGTGTTATAGATATCGTGAGAAATTTCGTTGGAATGAAAGGGAAACGTTTTCTAAGCGTTGGAGAGTCAAAGCTTTATTTAATTGCGGATCTGTCGACCGGATGGCGACGGGAAAGCTATCGAATTACCCATCTCGACAAAGTTTTCCATGGACTTTGGAGACGCTATAGCGTCGCAAAGTTGTAAGTTCATTTCGGAACAAACGATTCGATTTCCAAGTCGAAGTTTAGTATACGAATGACGTTTTGACGTTTTGCTTTTTAGTTGTGCTCGCGTCTTAATGAAAACATTTTAAATCTAATTTTATGAATAAAATTTAAGATTGTATACGCAAGATGCGATTACTCAACAACGCTATAAACATTCAGCTTGTTTCTACTGAAAACGTAGCCCTGTTATATGCAGACAATAATTTGAATTCTGCTCGCGAACAATTCCCCATCCTGAATGCACAGTCGACGACTTTTGAGGAGGGTACGTTGTAGAAGCGAGTAATGAAATTTTTTAAATCCCACCACCTGATAGCTGTGGGTGATATATCATATAAAATATATCTGCTTTGTGATAGACTACACAGCAATTTTATGACGTGATTGAAAGCAATAGAGATTTCTCTTTGTTCCATTTTGAAGTAAAATTTAATTTAACATAATTAAGTTTGATTATTTTATGTAATAAGCTGAGTTGTAATCGATACATGTAAACGTTAACAAATCTGTTAAACGATATCACATATTAATGTTTTGACCCAAAAATATTTTCGCTTACAATAAATAATTAAAATAACTGGATATTTCAATATTTCAACATAAAAGGACGCTGTCGACAACAACCCTCGAGCTACTCGTACTGAAACTAATTAACAGAACCTAAACTCAACCATTACATTAATTCAATCTTGTTAAGATAACCTTATATACAAAATTTAAGATAGGTTTGATACAATGCTTTTGGGACACTCTATATAATTAAAGTATCATCAATCTCAAGATTTTTTTAAGGAGTATAAAGTTCTCATTCGTAGAACTCAACGATATTGCATAGCCATGGCGCCATGAATAAATAACGTCTGGCCTCATAAACTTACAACTGCGACTACCGTAAAAGTAGGTAAGATCATAAATCATTTTAGATATAGGACCATAAACATGGGATATATTTTATAGTTTAAAATTTTCGGTCGAATTTTACGTCTGTCATTGTGGTCCATTGAAATTAGAAGGATTATATCAGAGTATTCTAGGCTCATAGGAAAAGCATTCGGACAATAGCATTTCTATGGAACGTAACTCGAGCCGCACTAATATAATTAATACCAAGGGCTTAGAAAACGTCGACGGTTGCATAATATAACCGGAGCACGGCGGCGAAACTTTTTCCCTCCTCCGGTGCGGCCATTGAATCCTGGCGCACTTAGTCACGGCATGCGTTAGTTAGTATAACATTGTTCACGCTGAAGTTGGTTCTGGAAGCACTGCACAATATCGTTGCCGTTCGCGGTCGTCGCAAAAGAGAGATCCAACCGAGTAAAACGGATGCGACGAACAAAACGATCTATTAATATTTCTTTTGTAAAAGATCTTTTGTTGCAACGAACAACAGACATACATTAAGCTTATTTAAATTTTCCTTCAATATACAACACAAAATGATAAACTTTGTAATTAATGTAGTAGTGCTGATACATTTTTACAAAAAAAAGTTTATATTGTACAAAAAAAAATGGATTACATCACATTTCTTTTCATTGAAAATATTTATAGAAACTCACGGATGAAAGCAACAATAATAATTATATTGTATTAAATACAATATCTGTTGCTATATATCAAGAAGCAAAACTAACTCCACTCGTGTCCAGGAGATACATTACATTGAACTTTGAGTGAATTGAAGTGAATCTAGGCGAGAAGTTGAACACGTAGCTTTCTAACTCTAAAAAAATAACGTGATTTGTAGAAAAGCCATAACAAGCAAATGAAGAAATTCAAGTTCAAGAAATCTATCAAACACGGAGGAATGAGCCAAAGCTTACCAAATCAGTAAATTACGGGAACTAAAAAGAAATCTATAAAAGAAAATCGGAAGACCATCATTATTAAAACGGTTAGATGAGTGAGGCTAAGATAATAAAGAAGATAGCATAGAGGAGAAGATGATGACAGAGATCGAGACAAGATGGTGAGAAAAAGCCAAAATCCCAGTCTCAAGATGCACTTCCTAAAAGGTTGTAATTATTATTAAAGAATCCACTACCGGATTCCAGATTGCAAAAGGGCACTGACAATTGAGGTGGATACTGACAATTGGTGTCTCTTCCGGTACGATGACTCTTCCTTCTGGTATCGGACAGGAAGAGATGTGTTGAAACAGATTTATGGTGTTTCGAATGGTGGAAAAATTACTCTCCGTGGACTAAATAAAGGATAAAATGGATTCTACCCATGCAGGGAGGAACGCCCGATTTATTGCGCGTACACTCAGGTTAGATCAGAGTGCGTTTTAGACGCGCACTACTCGTGAAGTAGCATCAGGAACTTCCTCCTGTTATCGTACCGGAAAAGTAGTGTTAAATCCGGCTTGTGGTGTTTTAATGAATTTGGTGCCGCAAAACGAGGCATTACATGGTTGAAAAATTTCTCTTCAGCATTATAAAGTCTTACATGGACTAAATAAAGGACCCTGAAAAATGAAATGTACTCAATCCATGCAGGATTAATCCCGACGGATTGCTCAGTTTACATTAGAGTCCGTTTTAGACGCGCACTCTTCGTAGAGAAGTTTCAAGAACTTAAAGTGATTCACTTGAGGTGATAATAAATCCAAAAATATTGAATTTTAAATTTGTGGTTCACAGACTCCATGGCTTAAGCGTTTCTATTTGTGATAACTTCGCTAAGGAAAAATGTAGAAGAACGATTTGGTGCCTTGACACGGTTAGTACTCCGTTTTTGGTGCTCAATATGATGTACTTAATTGATTCTCAAATCTAGCCTTTATTGCTGGTTGAGATCTATCTGTTATCGAAATTACTCTTGCTTCGCTGTAATATATCTGCCATGCATAGTTGATAGGTTTTTGATGTGGTTTGGGAAAGCTCTAGGTTATATTTATAATTCGACTGGAACTGCAATGAAAGCAAGGTATTTTATTTATTTAGCAGTTAAAAAAGTATTTGTTAGAAAAAAAAGTAGGTTTAATGGAAGAAAAGAGATGAAAGAAGGATGGCTTTTACTGTTGGCTGCTTTCCTAATTATTGGCCTGATATGTTGGTGAACATCATACCTAAATCAGGTATACAAAATTGCTTCCTGCAAACCAATCAGTCTTTCCTCACCTTCATTGTCTACCTTGGCAAGATTATGTTATCGTCACAAAATCGTCTACATTAATCGCTAGATTCCAATCAATATGCCTACCACCCAGGATAACTCTACACTCAACACTACAGCTCTTTACTCCGCTTTGTCAGGAAGGCATCAGCTTTAAAAAGTCTTTCTTAGTGTTTCTACACATATATTACATAAATCGCTTTCGATGAGTAAATCTTCTTAATTGAGATTAATGAAGCTTTGGTAGACCTTAATATCCCTGCTACCCTCAGTGGTCGGATAGAGAGCGTTCTTAAATAGAGAATCGTTAAATTCCAGGCTGGCAAGTCCACACTTAACAGGACCACCAATTTTTCCGAACCTCACTATGACTACCCTGATGTAAGTAAAGAAAAAATGAGCTCACGGGTGATTATGGACTGCCATCCACTGTTTGCAGTTATGGCGACGCTTATATTGATTTAATGAAATTATGTTGCGCGAAAAATAATGCCAAAATTCACAAGTTTAATATTAGATTACTAACTAGCTACAGGATTTATTAAGGATCTCTGTAAGGTAAGTAAGTACCTTTACAATTGTCAGAAATACACATCTGAGCTATATCTTAGCCTTTGACATCTTCTTCGATTGTACAAACACCGAAGAAGGGTTGAAAGGTTGTGCTTTGAATGAATTTTTGACTAACATTTTTGTCAAACATCGCGTATAATATTATATGTTTATTGAAAAGTATAAAAGTAAGAAGGGACTTTGTTGCAAATAGTAGATGGAAAACTACATACAAATTGTCATCCAATCAAGCAACGCTAATGTTTTGTCTTTTTAGATTAAGTGTTTCAGGAAAGTGTTATGAAAGCATTAACATAGTTGTTCGTCACCTGCTCTATTAGTTAAATGCAGCCACAAAAAGTGATGAATATCGACTTTAGGTCAAATTTTAATTATTAATAACATTTAAAACAAAAATATATATATAATAAATTATTCGTATACTAAGTTCTTTGTTAATTTAAAAAAAAATTCTGATTCATTCCACATTAATTTTTGAGATGTAAAAATATGATGAGAGGTTAAAGGTTGAAATGTACAAGTCGTTAGTTAAGCTCTTGATATTAAATGAGCGTGTTCTGGCTGGAGTTAAATTGCAAAGTCCTCGGCGCCAATCTAAAAGTGCGGTTATGATCTGTCTGCGAGTGGCGTTCGTTTAAAAGTTAGACCGAGGACGTAGATATATGAGGAAACTCGCGTCGATGGACGCCTGGAGACGTGTTCTGTGGAATATATCGTTCTGAAATGCGGGTTATTATCTTATAGCCACTCGACGGAGCGCTACACGCTTGACGAATGGCTTCAATAAACCTAATGCAATGCTTTTAAAATTCGATACTAAGTTGAATGGTCTTTGTAGACTGTTCGCTCCGTTCAAGCCTTGGAGCTTTTCCAGGCGTCTCCAAATCATTTTCAAATTGTTATTGAGAAATAACAGATTTGGCAATGCGATTTATTACCACGGTAATATCATTAGACAAATATTAAAAAATTCGAATTTAAAAGAGAAAAATGTTATTATAATTAACATAATTAAATTCTGCCTAAATTCATCAAATAGAAAGCTTTATTTTATTCTTTTTTTTTGATACAGAACTCACCAACGAATGTAAAACTGTGCACCCAACTACGAAACACTAATGAATCTGGTCCAGGCGTAGTCCCCACACGTTCTCGTCTGGGTTGATAACATCTTCAGAACTCGGAGTAGACCTGCAAAGAAAGAAATTTCCATATGAATGGCGCCGTGTATGGCCCATTTAGCCGAGCTCACAAATTACGTCCCAGCTACGACACGGTACCGGATATCAGCGAAATTACTGTTACGACTAACAGAAAATTCCTATGTCGTATCCACGTGAATCGACGTTTTTATTGATTAGTAGGGCGAAAATTTTCAATAAAATTTAATATATGCAAAATGGATTCGTTTAAAACATTAGATGATCCTTTTTATGTCTATTTTACATATTCAATAAATAGAATATCGTCGTTAACCGAGAGATCGTTTTCGATTTTATGACGTTATTTAGGTTCTTTATACCTTATTGTAATAGACACAAAATTTTTTCAATAACATTGTAAATAAAATTAATAAAAAATACTATAAAAAATGTGAAAAGAAAAACAGAGTCTTTTATTCTCTCGAACGTTCGCTTCTTAAAGTTAAAAAAATATTATTAACAGTCCCAAACGATTTCCCAGCCAATAAGGCGCAAGGAATTTTACTACCGCGTCATAAAATCTTCTCCCTTGCCGAATTTTAAAGGAAAGGTAATAAAAAGTACACTTACAGATTACAGATACAGAAGCGAACGTAATTGCTCTCGACCAATTATGGATACCGATCTAAGTGGAAATAAGATTGTTCAATTTGCATGAAAAGCGCGAGAGGAACGATTCTTTTCCTCCAAACCTTCCTTGATTACATCAGCTGCAATTGAACGTTGTTTGATAAAGCTTCCGCAAAATCGTCATATCACCGGTTAAAACATTTATTTGCCTTATTTTAGCTCTCTTGATTTATTATCGTGTACTGTGAAGTGCTGATTTAAAATATTTACCTTATTCGGTACGTTGTGCATCAACTTGACCCACATTTTTACAAATTTTATACGACAACAACGAGATAAAATGTTGAAACAGCAAATACTGTTTACTTTGAGTACAGTTGTCCAGATCCATAGATAACGCCGAAAGCTTTTGTTGAAATTGGTTTTCTTTGAAGCACGAAAAAAAAATAAAGAGTACTTTTAATTTATTTTATCTACAATCTGAAAGAATATTTTGTGAATCAATAAGAAATTAACGTGGATGTTAAAAAAATATTGAAAATTTTTACGAATCACTCAACTGATTGTGAGTGAGTTGGGAATGTAAATAGTAATACAAAAATTGAAAATTTTTACATCGAACTGCTTTCAGTAATCAATTCAAACTGTCAAATCAATCGGAAAAGTCATATTGGAAGGGCGAACCTCGAATTCACGTTAATGATAGCGAGCCGATGTCGCAGAAATTGACCTATTAAATTGGAAAACTCACGAAAACGGGCATAACTTTGCTAATGTTTAGAGGCGGAAACACCTGAGCCGATCCACGAAGCCCAAAACTTCATTAAATTTTAATTAAAACTTGTTTGCCGGCTTCGTCGACTTTGTCTATTTGCGGGTCTTACACCGTTCTTAGTATACGCGTAGTAATTTTATGTTAATTTTCTTTTTTAATCGCGAATCTGATCGTAGAACACGGATTTTAAGGCTCATTTTTTATTGATTTCAGTGTCTTTGTTGTCGTGCGCCGGTTTTATTGGAAGAACAGGAGCGGAAAGTCGTCCATTTCCGCCCCCCTTTTTCCAATACTTGTCGTCGTTCGAAACGATGGGCATTTTCGATTTGAAATTCGAAATTGTACTTTATTTTCTCTAACAAAACGTATAAAAAACACGGAGTTACTATCCGTTATTCGTACGTGCCAAAATCTAAAATAAATCCTTATCTCGTGTTGACATTCCAAACTGTACGATATGTTCAAGGGTGTTTTTATTTGGTTTATATATCGCACACTTGCGCAAGAATTCGAGATAGTCCGTTGTATGCGCGTATGTATACAGATCTTGCATTGCACAATAAAACAGTTTCTAGTACATAAATATTTACTTGTCACATTTACCGTTATCCATCCTTTGTGCCAACGCTTCTGCATATCCCTCGATGTAAAGTTATGTTGACAATTTTTTTTTTTCGTTTGTGGGCAGAATTGATGAAGCAGAAACCTGATTAATTATCACTAAATTATAAGTTTGTAACAAAACAAGAAATGTAAAAATGAATATTTTAAATTTATAAAATAAATTTCTTCGTTTCTCTTAGTCTTAACAACTAAGCGAACCGTGGTGGAAGCCGGAGGCAGAACAGGTTTGCCAAGAGCATTACCATTAAAGGTCCCCATGAAAAGTAAAATTATACAATGCGCCGAGCCACGTTCGAAAGCAAAGACGAAGAAGAAAGCAGACGGTGGAAGCACATATCGTAAAACAGGATGAAAGAAGACGAGAAACCGGACGAGAGTCGTCGTGGCATGAGAAAAGGAATAGGATGGGAAAAAAACGAAAGGACTGTATGACGTCAACATCAACGTCTACGTCTTCAGTCTGAGCTAAGAACGGCCTAAAACTTACGGTAGCGTTTCCACGACGATCGTTATCTCAATGGGATGCGAGTTGGTCTTTTTATGAGGACGAGCATATTATGTTGACGAGAAATTATTATGTTTGTTGAAAATCATATATCTTTCAAAAATTAACTTATTCACTATTAATGAAATACTTTTTAGAGCAATTTTATAACAAGTGTTATAAAAAAATCAGAAAACTTTGTAAGTTGTAAAGAAGAAAGGTAAAATGGGTAATAAAAATCCTTTAATTTCACCGCCTTCGACGTTAAAATGATGCTGTAAAAGTTCTTATTGTTTAAAGACAGCAATTTTTATTCTCTCATCTAAGCGATTTCAAAGATTTTGCTTGTTTTCAACAGATCATCTTTATCTACTTATTGACTAAAAGTTCTAACATTTACATAAATTATTTTTTGTTGTGCAAACGAAATATAAAACAAAATAAATATTTGAGTGATGAATAAATATTTGAATGATGAATAAATATTTTAATAAAACGGTGGGTTACTTTGATTTAGGATGTTATGTGATTATAATCAATTTAATGATCTCCTATGTTTATGGTAAAAAGAATTCAAAATCGTTGGAAATAACCTGTGGTGTATAAGGTAAACCAAAAAGTAATTTCTGCTATATAAATGATTGAGTAAAGGCAATTTGTACTGTTTGCGATCAATCAAGTGTAAATTTTTCAGAACTCTGAATTATATACTGCGCATGATGTCATCGATTTTCTTTTTATAGCAAACGACCATGAAGTTGTTTAATTATTTGACGTTACAAATCTTTTTAAAAATATACGTACAATTTCGTTTAATTAATTTACATCAAACAATGTTATGAAATTTTCTGAAAGCTTCTTCAGTTTAAATCTTCGCTTATTTACGCAATACTTAAGCAATCGAATGAAATTCATGTGTGTATGAAATTATTCATAAAGTTTGTTCTTTTGATTCCTCATTTTAACGGTTGTAGTGGTAACACTTTTGCTATCACGTTTATATCCCAAACACCACAAAAATTATACATGTGGGACTATATTTCGTGTAATTTTAGCGTTCTCCCAATGGTGCTTTCATGTTTTCATAAAAGTGGTAAAGAACACGTGTTTACTACAGTTGTTTTGACTCATTTTCACAGTTTATGATCTTAGGGGTTGTGCAATTATGTTGCCAATACTAACTAACATATTACAGATTTAGGATTAATAATTTATTGGACACTTCAATAAGCAAAAAGGTGAAAAAAAAGTACGGTTGTGTAAACATTACGATATTTTACTAGAAAAATTGGTGTGACGAAGACTCTAATAACTCTTTAGAGATTAATCGGACCGTTACTACGCCCAAAATTTCGGAGAAACCCAAACTTCAAGGCGTTCATTAAACAACTCTTAACGCGTAATTAAAATATATTGTGCACGTTTCTACTGTCATGGAGTTAAAATTAGACGTTGATTTTGAATCAATTTGAGGTATTCTGCAATTATTTCCACTTTGTTTGATGATAGTCATTGTTAGCCACGCCAAACGAGCATTACCAAAAAACATTTAGATGAAAATGAAACAAGACGATGAAAAATGTTGGAAGATACACTCGTAAAGATACACAAATAAATATCTGGCATCAAGAGCCACAAGAACAGAAAAACTTCTTTGTGCACGCACCAGTATTCCTTACAATATTACAATATATAATACTTTCCTGAATCTACAATACTAGCCAGGTAGCTTCTGTATTTATTGGTTTTGTCAGCAACTATGAAACGTATCATCAGTAGTAAAAGACACACTTCTTCAGTTAAAGAGAAAGTTCAATGTGGGATAAAGGAACTCGAAACGAATATCAGATTGGGAAAAACCAAGCAATCAGCGATCGCAGAGGTTTGTCATACACAAAATAGAATTTAACAATGTTATATAATGCTAACTTGTCAGGAAGAGCTATTATTACCAGATAATAATGAGAGAGGATACAGAAATGTTCCAGGACTAGTGGAGTACTGCCTATCATCAACATATTTTACCTGGAAGGGAGAATTCTACGTGCAATGCGATGAGGCAACCACTAGAAAGATAGATGGGAGCATGGAACTGGGGTATGTCGAAAAAAGCCATAGGCTTCGTCCCATCACCAAGTACAACAGAAGTCCCTGATTTAAGCCTTATTCTAGCGAACAGAGAAGATATGCGCCAAAGATAACTTAAAGAAATAAGAAAGATTCCTACAATATGTACTGTAGAAGAGTATATAAACTCTATTAACTAATATCCAGCGAGCTATTAAACCACGCAAACAGAGGGAAGACATACATCAGCCGGTTTTATTTGCCTTCCTTATGTTTCAGGTGTGACGGAGCGGATTGCAAGGTGCCTGAAGAAGAATGATATCGTGGTACGATACGGTACGGACAGCAAAATACAGAACGCTCTTCCAATAACTAAAAACAAACTAACCCCATTAAAAAGAAGCGAGACTGTAGCGAAAATGAAGTTGCGGGAAGTATTACGTTGGCCAAACTGGATGTAATATCGAGT